ATGTGCTTATCTAGCCATTCTTATTGGGTTCTTAGAAGATTTCATTAGAGAATGTCTAACAGTGTGTCGAGAACATGATAAGCTCTCGTCTGTTATTTGCTACTATTTTTTTTAATTAAACTAGAAAGCTAGTATTATCATTGGCCAGGTGGACGAAAAGTTATATAAGGATACTTGCTGACTGATTTAGTTGCAAACAATCAAATTCAGGTAAATAGAGTCAGAACTGCTAATCGTGACTAAAATGATTACTGCTGTCATCACCATCATCATCATCATCATCATCACTGCTAATAAGAACTGAGTTATAACCTGAAATTGCAGCTATTGCCCCAAAAATAGAACTGAGGGATTGAGAGAGAGACTGAGTGCTGAGGCTGTAACTTAATCTAGTCATAATGGAGAATGATTCTTTTAAGGTTTTAGTTTCACAAGAGCAAATACATTTTTCTTCTCTACCTCCACCTTGGCTTAAGGTTCTCTGAATTGGATTTCCGCCACTAGATCAAAACAAATGGTTTTTTAGCCCTTGAAAAGAAACAGGTCACTGGGAGTCAGCACAGACTGATAAAAAGTTTAAAACACACACTCACACAAACAAAAAAAAAAAAAAAAAAAAAAAAAAAAAAAAAGGAAAGCCTGGACTTCTCCTGACAGCCAGCTGCATCAGTAGATCAAAGGAATGCTGTAGGCCATGTAGTCCAACAACCTGGCCCAGCAAGGTCTTGTGATTCTCTCAAGACATCCTTAAAAACAAGGGGGTGGAGGGAAACCTGGTTGTGGAAGTTGGGGGGAAAAATGCATTGGTAGGCAGTTATGTGCACTAAAAAACTGATAAAACTTGACACCAAGATGTGCTCCCTGGTGCAATCATGGTATGACTGTTAGTGAGTAACCAGCTGTTTTCTGATTGCATTTGAGGCCTGTTCCAAAGGAACTAATGCCTGGCACTGTTATCCTGTCAAAAGCCCATGGCTAGGAAGGTCATACGCTCTAGTGGGGAGCCTAATTACTTTTGTTTTATTAAATAGACATTTTGTCAAACTGACTTCTAAATATTTGTTTATACCCCTACATCAGTGTTGTTCTCAACCTTAGCAAGAGAAGCTTCTTTTTACAGTGGGCCAAAGTTAATGTGGAGACTCATAACTGGTCAGCTGAGGATAAGTGACTGTTGAGTCCTAAATGGGTCATCTGTATCACACTTTGCTTTATCTCCTCTGCAGGGATCCGGCAGAAGACAGAGTGGGAAGACTGTAAGAGCTGGAGGATGGGGTGGGGGCGTGCTGTGAAAAGTCTCTTCTAGACATGACATGCCTGGATGATACGCATTCGAAAACTCGCAAACTTGTGGGTTACCTGCACAAGATCGAGACAGTCAACATTCCATCCTGGGTGGGAAAGGGGATCATGAGACTCCACCCTTAGCTGAAGAATTATTGGCAGTTGTTGCCTGGGAAGGGGTGTTTTATTTCCAGGGGTGTGGCTACTGGCAGGTTGCAGGTGCTCCAGTGGATGGCTCCATATTCATGCACATGCAGGCAGAACTAACTAGCTCCATGGAGTAGTAAAAAATGGGGAGACGTGAAGTAGGAAAGGGGTGTGGGGAATCTAGAGACAATGCAAGGGGGAGTTAGGTGTGTATATGACTAAGATACTTTGTATGCACATATGAAATTGTGAAATAATTTTTTTAAATTCATAAACAAAAGAACTGGTAAAACGTCTTAGTTCTGTCCTATTTACCAATATCTACTAATTCCTCCAGTGTTTCCTATCTTAGAGACCATCTGA